TCTGAGTCTTCCCTCTCAGTAGCTTTGAGATCTATTGTAAGTCCTCTATTCTATTGGAGTATTTGTTTGCTCCTTTGCAGTTTTGCCTTCAGCTGCGTCACACCACTCCTTGTTCAACACCTTATCACGACACATGGGAAGATGAAGACAGTGTTGACTGACAATGGAGAAGAGTTCCTGTCATATGCAGTTCAGAACTATCTCCGCCGGCTCAATATTGAACACCTCCACACCTCACCTTACCATCCACAGATGAACGGTCGCCTCGAGAAGTTCAATGATCTTCTTGGACAGATGCTTGCGCGTTATACAGCCCCGGACCGACAAGACGAATGGGACGACTACCTTCCCGATGCCTTGTTAGCCTACCGCGCACATGTCAGCCGTAGTCACAGACACTCTCCATTCTATCTCACTTACGGGCGCGAACCTCGACTCCCTCACGAACTGACTCTCGACCCTCTCCGTCGACCACCTACAAATGCCAATATCGAGGTCTTGCAGCACCGTCACATTGAACACATCCAAAATCTTGAATGGATGCATACCGAGTCGAACGCACGCGCTCTTCGTCGTCTCCAGAATGAGGCCGACCGTCGCAAAAATACCTATTGCGAGCGCGGTTTCGGTATTGGCGATCTCGTCCTTCGTTGATCAGAGAATCCAACGAAGCTGCATCCACGCTGGGACGGCCCGTTCATTGTACGCGATCTGACAGACCGCAACACGTATCAGCTTCGCACTTGGAATGGCTACATCCTCTCACCTTGTACAATGGCGAGTGTCTCAAACGCTATCATCCTGCTGTCCCTGATCCCCCACTCTGGTATTCATCCACCGAGTTGCAGCATTGCAACGCGAAGGCTCGGATTCAACGCGACATCAACATTCGCCGTGGCCAGCGCGACGACTGATAAGCCCTAACAACCTCTGTACTTATATCAGCATTCCTCTCGAAGATTGAAACTGGCTGAACGTATCGTGATTCCGTTTTTCATGTTCTCCTCGACTTCTCCTCAGCTGTTCGAGTTGGGTTTTCGCAGGCTTGCAGGAGCAAGGGTCGTGAAGGAGGGGATGGTGTTGGGCTGCGACACGTCCTTGGTATGCTCGTGTTTGTCTGCTTCCCAAAATGGTATCACGACCGACCAGGACTGTACGAAGTCCTCTGACAAGGTCTCGAGTTTGACTTGGACTGAGTCCTCTGCGCTGCAGATGTCATTTCCCTTATGTTGATCTAGATTGTAACTGTACGTGACACACTGACCTGAACTGTACCTTGTATAGTAGTGACTCGAAAGGAGTCAAGCCTCCATGTATATATATATATACATAGGTTCAAGACGAAATACGACCAGAATTCTCTCGCCCCAGTCTCAAATGCTCCGTCTTAGCACTCCGGAGATAGGGCGAAACCACACCCCCCAATGCAGATGGGGAGGAGCCTGATAATAGTAGTATTCGAAGACAAAACAGAATGCGCATTGTGCTGCACTTTCTGAAGGGCAAACAAGAATTAAAAAATATATGGCCAACGCCGGGATCGAACCGACGACCTTGGCGTTCCGTACGGAATTCCTATCAATACCGTGGGAAAGTTGTATTAGCACCACGCTCTAACCAGCTGAGCTAGTCGGCCACGTTATTTAGATAGTTCAATAACAATCTACGGTGCTTGAAACATCTTCTTTTCGACGTACAACTTCATCCCGGGCGAAGGCTTACATCTCAACGATTCCTCCACCGGTCGATGTGATTGCTCAACATGTTCTTCATTGTGAGCGTCGATAGAATGTTGGAGTGTGCGTTGTGCTGACGAGCACGACACAGAAAGAGCTGTCTCACACAATTCTCTTGCACCCGTCGTATTTCGGCCCTCGCATGCTGCAGTTTCTAGAGTCCAAGCTTTACTCGGATGTGGAGGGAACATGCTCTGGACAGTTCGGTTACATTATTGCGGTAGTGTCCATCCTGGACATTGGGAAGGGCATGGTGCTTCCTGGGAGTGGGCAAGCAGAGTTCATCACGCGCTACCGCGCCATCGTATTCAAGCCATTCAAGGGCGAGGTCGTCGACGGCGTGGTGAATAACGTCAACAAGGTGCGCTGCCTGTCGTCCGTTTACGAGAGGGCTTACCGCGATGCGGTCGCTAGATGGGTTTCTTCGCCGAGGTTGGACCTCTGACGGTCTTCGTCTCGCATCAGGTCGGCGACACGTTCGGCGACGTTCACTGCTAGGCTCACAGGACCGTACCTTGCAGCTCATCCACCCGGACATGCGGTTCGACCCCAACTCAAATCCGCCGTCTTTCGCATCAGAAGACCAGGTGTGTTGTGTTCTTTCGCTTCGTCGTGAACGCCTCATGGCCGGCCCATGCCTCAGATCATCGAGAAGAACACGAAAGTGAGACTGAAAATCGTCGGAACCCGTGTCGACGCTACGGAAATTGCAAGTTCTTCCTCCCGCTGCCTCGTGACTCGCTATGATGTATTGACTGCCACTTTAGTTCGCGATCGGGACTATCAAGGAGGACCATCTCGGTGTTATCGATTGAAGTCATGCAGCGTGTGTCAACCGACGTGCACATGCCTTTGTTCCTCTGACTATTTGGTTCGTATGTCGGACTGCTATGAACATGCTTCGGATAATCGTGTAGCAAATAATGTACTAATTCCATGAGATACCCCATCCCAGGCGTCCCTTTATCACCAGTGTGTTGATCGAGGACAATATGCTCCTACAAGCCTTCCAGTCGCAGAACATCGTGGACCTGAGAGACAGATCTTGACCATGCTTCATCAGACGCACTGTCATAGTGCCACCCCTCTGCCCTGAAAGATAGCAAGCACTCGTGATAGCAGCTCAAATGTGTGCTCAGTTGAAGTTTGCCGCAGTCCTGCTGTAAGACAGTCCTCAGGTCATACTCGGTATCATCCCTGCTCGGCGAACCAGCCACGCACGAGTTGATCATTACAACATGTAAGACCTGGAAGGATTGTGCTGTGGAACGTTGACTGCGTGATACCTCGCCGGTGTATGCATGCACCACGCACGTAATGCGTCATGTTCCGCTATGTGTGTTGAGATGCTACTAGCAAGTCCCTGTCAGCTGTTTGATGACCTGCGACGGTGCATAACACAACATGTTTCGGCGAGATAAATATGATACATAGATGAGTGCTAACGTATAGCGAGGGCGAATGGACTACACTAGACCTAACGAATTACAACAGCTACTCCTCGTCCTCGAATCTCAAGATCTGGGCATCCTCGTCAATGGGCACCGACCGGTACCCGCTGCGTGTGCGCATGCCTGTCGTCGCACCAGCGAACTTTTCGACGACTGTTTCCCATACGGAGCCGGCCACAGCCATGACGAAGTACGGCACGGACGCGAGCGTGTCGAGCACACCCGAATCGGCCCGGTACCTCGGTCCATTGTCTCCTCCAGGAAGGCGAATCGCTCTGTGAAGAATGGTCAACCCAAGCGACCGAGCAGTGTGCGTAACGTACCCTCTCGAGCGCTTACGGACATACCACCATCCGATGAGTGCTGCGAACGCGCACGGGATGAAGAGCATCATGAGCCAGAAGAATGCGCCATGCGCCTTGATGCCGGGGCAGACGTGTGAAGCCCCCCGATCAAGACGCGATCCAGCCTCGCAGCTGGAGTACGGGATTTTGCGGTACGCAGTGCGCTCATACCAATAGTCCTCGCCATTTCTACATGAGTCGTCGTCGGGAAGTGGTGAGGTGCCGGGAACCAGAACACACTCGTCGCTCCCGTTTCTGTAGTAGTTGAATTCGCTAATGCCGACTCGTGAGCGACAATTAGGGATTCGGTTCGCGGCGATACTGCACGCACCATTCAAAGTCGGACTTCTGACAAGCGCAGTTTCGGACGACCTTGGTCTCGGCCTTCGGACGGTTGCCCACCACACAATTGACGTCCCGTACACGGCGATGATACATCGTCTACGCAAAAAATCGGTGAGATGCGAGCAGGGGGACATCCTTGTGCGACTCACTTGCCGGCCGAAAAGGCATAGCTCATTCCGCTCCTCGCTCGGACTCCAGAGCTCAAAATCGTCATGGCCAGGATCTTCCACGCTGAATACACCTAAAACGAACGGGAGAAGTGAGTAAAACCCTGGATATAGCAAGATCTCGTCACGGACATTGTTTCCATGTCAGGGACGAGAAGTCAATGTGCACAGCGACGTGGACAGGCGGCGAGCGAGGATAGTAACCCATGAGGATGAACCGGCGACTCGTGTCACTCGGAACCGTGACGATCTCCTTCACTCGTATCCTCTCATCAGTGAACTTGTACTCCCGCCAGTTCTTGCCCTCGTCCGTGCTAAAGAGCACGTGATCAGTAGGTTCCTCGTCGTTCGCCATGATGAGGATCGATCCGGAGTCGCCAAACTCCCAGGTATGGGCGTCTTTGTGGACCTCTTCCCAAGTGAAGCCAGCGTCCCGACTTAAGAACGTGTCACTTTCAGAGTAACCCGCCAGAACCTCGCCGACATTGCCAACAGCCATGAGCAGGCCCGGTACAGACGGCGTGCTGTATGTCGCGCGGGCATCGTAGCGCTCCGTATACCCATGGACATGCAGTGCACAACGCTAAGCATAAAGTTTAACAGACATGTGCGTCCCAAAAAGCCATGATGCTCACAGTACTATCACACAGATACTGATTCCCTAGAGAATCTCTTGAGGGCGGGGTCAGTCGCTTCCAGGTTCCACCTGAAATTGTTGTTGTCAGTCTGGTTCTGGGAGCGGCAGAAGACGCACAAACCATCGTTGTGGGTGATACGCGTCTCGAGTTCTTTGCGTCCCGTTAAAGTGGCTTCGAGCGGGTTCGATACGACATTGACTAGCGCGATCCCATCTAGGCCGATCATCTTCTCGAAGTCGACGTACCCCAGATCGTTGCGATTAACGTTCTCCAAGGATATACTGTAGTACGTTCCGTTGGAGTTGGACTTCAATATGCTCCCCCAGTATGGTCTCGGACGCTCGGAAGTAGTGACGTGCAGGAAGACAGACATGGTGCTTGACTCCAGTATAGTGTACGCCTAAGGGACCTCAGCATGCGTGCCTAAGATTGAAAAGTAAGGTACTTGCATGTTGGTCTGGCCGTAGATTGGGAGGGAACGCTCCACTAGCGAAAGTACGTCCATCGAGCGACACCTGTAGATCCAAAGCCTGCTGCTGTGTCTGATACTGACGGAACAATGTACGTCAGCAACGCTCCCAATGAACAAGAACGACGACCTCCAGTACCTCTGCCACAATCAGGAACTCGCTGAATTTGGTAAACCCGACAACGTGATCGAAGAGCTTTGTCTTCTTATCGAAGAATTGTGTGCCGCTGATCAACTGTAGTGGATTCTCCATACCGAAGAATCTCTGATTGCCCTGCTGGTTCTTGTAGACCTCACAAATGATCTGGTTTGGATCGACATGCAACTCGGCATCCCGAGCCCAGGCACAATTCCGAACGTACTTCTCGATGAACTTCCAGTTCCGCCCGTGGTCGCGTGTGTAGAACGCTTGCACATTACAGTTCTCGCCGAAGCCGACGCAACCATCGCTACCGCTCCAAATGAGGTAATCAGAGTTCCCTGGATGAAAATGTAAGATCTGAAGACCGAGATTATTCGGCGGCAGTGGTGCGGATAAGTGGTGCCATGTCCTGCCCGTGTCGGTGGTGTAGTAATATACGTTAGTCGCGGTTACGAGGTATGCCCGGTCATTACTGTAGGCATGGTGGTAGAAAGCAACGAAGCGTTGGTCGGGCTGCACCTGTTGCCATGTGTAGCCTTCATTGCTGGATTGCCAGATGGTGAAGTCTTCGAGACGGACGAGAATTGTCTGTCACGAGTCAGTATGGGGATCGCGGGAGAACAAGATATCGCTTACCGTAGACTCTTTAAAGTACGCAAATTGTACAACCGGTGCCGGGAATTCGAACTAAACAGATTGTTGTGTTCACATTTATGCACCATACGAAAGAAGACATCTTACGATTTGATGGATGATCTCGCCTTCATCAGGCTGAGCTATGACATTTCTGAGCATTCGAGATCAGCGCGCTAGCCATTTGCTCGCGTACCGTTAGCACAAGACTTTTCGACGGGCTCATCCTTCTTGATGCCAGTTTGTCTGTCACAAGTATTCCCTGGAATGAGCCTGTAACCTGACGACCCGAGGTACATCCTATCTGGTTGATCGGGAGGGCAGACCCCCGCAGGGATCGGCTCAGGCCCCACCGGAGTGCACTGATCGCCCTGTCGTACGAAATTGTAGTCACTACATCACAGGTTTCAGCTGGGCAGTTGGCACATTCGAGCAATGTTGGGATATCACAGACCATTCATAATCCTCGTCCCCGCACGGGCAGTTCTCCTCGTGCTCGATGGGCTCGTGGAACTTATCTCCGATATAGCAGTCCACGTCTTGTTTTCGGCGCCTATACCATTGCTGAACGAGGGTAAACATCAAGTCAAGCTTCAGTGATTTCATCCCGCACAATTCTCACCTTATGTCCCATCAGACAATCGTGGGTCCTCGCGCGAGCGAACCAGCTCTCGAAGTCGTTATCACCACACTTACGCGAGCGGACAGGTG